TGGAAACTGTAGACAGGGATCCTGGACTTCTCATTTTCCATATTTAAGATCTAAAAGACAGAAAAGAAGCACCAGAAGGAACCCTATAATTATAGGTCACATGGACATGTTTCAACTAGATATTTGCAGAAATTGTTGGTTGGGTGTGATTTGTTTACTGGCCAAGCAGTTGGTTTGGTGTTCTGCCCCATCAAGTAGGTGCCCACTGAGAGGCAACACCCAGCAGGAGTGTGGGATGCTGATGGTGAGTGGTGCCTGCTGAAGGGGGCGGGGCACCAAATTGTACATCAGCTGTTCAGTCAGTAAACAAACCATGCAGATCCCCAAAATTTGGTTCAGGCTTGGAAAAGTTACTTTACTGAATCACAATGTCCCAGCCAACATGGACCTTTTTTATCTTTAGAATTGTTTAGGTAAAAAAAGCCACTTAACTTAGTACTTTGGGCACATCACCACCTAGCCCAAAGTACTTCACTTGTGTGCTTTCGGGTCTATACCGGTCCAGCTTAAGTTTCTAAATACTTTTGAAGGATTGTTCCTATGAAACACACTGCAGCAGTCTAATCTCAAGATGAGGAAGCAAAGATTATGATCACCCGGTGCCTATCTAATAGGGATACCACAAATTCAAGATTATTATTGTCCATATAACGAAAGGTTTTTATACAAAACATTTTCTGTACTATGGTGCCACTCAAAAGGCTACAACTCCACACACACTTTCCTTTGTCCGTTTTCTCAATCTGGAATAGTGCCATTTTAAAAAGACTAAATTTATCATTATCTTGTCCAAATAGACAATATAACAGTACCGTAACTGATACCCCCCTGAGGATTCATTCCTTTCCTCCCTGCCAATCATATTCAATATGACAGAAACACAGAATCACAACAATGCTTCTTTCTTTGTCCCCACCTCTCACCCCAACTTCCAGTAATCCTCCTACACCTCTCCATCTAACACTCTCCAAAGAGCTGGAGAATTCTCATCACTCTCACTAGTGCAGCTATGCTAGTCACAAAGGATACAAGTTAACAGTTTAACATCTCTGAAGGGTGCAAGGTTATACACAGGAGATGAACCCAAATTGAAACAAAACAGCCAAACTGACACAAAATCCATTCAAAAAGCTTATCTGTGGTGATATCTCTATAATACTCTCCAAGAAGGCACAAAGTGTAAGCTTTCAAGAATACTACCACTTGATCAGGGAACGTTGTAAAAAGTAAATGGAGAAGAAGGAAAGATTTCCTCGACCTGCAGTTGCATTAACTTCACAGACCACAGCAGAACCTTCCCTAGACTTTCCAGGTAGCAGGAAGTATAACAACATCCACCACTCCAACTGTCAAGCTTCCATGTTCCCTTTAAGTTTAGTGACACTGGCTGGACAGATTTTCCCACAGTTAAGTACTGCTGACTTATTTTTGTTGCAATACAAAGTATCTGATAGGGGCCAGGCCTTGAAAAGGCAATTTAGAGCCACTAACTTTTTTAAAAAAACTCTTTATTTTCATAATCCAGCCAACACAAGTGCGAAAGAATGTTCTACAACACTGCTCAACACACCGCTGTCTGAAATAGAACTGGTGTCCCCACTCACTGCAATACTGTCTAGAAGAATGTTGGGAAAAGACTTCATCATGCAGCTGCCAAATGTCCAGCATCCAGTTTCCGGCTTCAAAAACTATTATTTCAACATGCCTTGTGCGCCTGTGCAATGTTAAAAAAATCCACACCTATACTGAGAGTGGATTTTCCATTTTCATGGAACAGATGGGTATGGAGGGGAGTTTATATAGAACTCGAACATGCTTAGTCCTTTGTTTGGAGGCATTAATTGGTGAACAGCCTGTAGCAAGGTGTTTATAAATAAGTTCAAATGGTGAGACTTATTTCTAGGTGAACCTCTATCAGAAACATAGATTGTGTTATGGACCCCTTGGATGAGTGTCCACTCTTCCAACTAGTACAGAGGTTCTGTTCCCTTAATAAATTATGGTGCCCACTTTCAGAGGGTGCTGCATCGAAACACAGAATATTAGAAGTCCTGCACGAGATCTTCAGAACTGGGGAAAGTTACTCTTTTCCTATTACAACTCATATCTTTCATCCTGGGTGGCAGATTTTGGGAATTGTAATCTGAAAGTAACTTTTCCAAGGCTGGCTGTTTTTGCAAAGCAGAACTAGCCAATATCATGTTTAATTTTTACACATGTTGATCTCCAACTGCGAAATATGACACCAGTGTCCAGCACATGCGGATGATCATCTATGGTGCCAGCGCCTTTGTCAGATCACCCTGGGAGCATTGATAGTTGGAACTCTATATCTGTCAGCAAGATTATGTAATGGACATGGATTCAAAGAAGGCTTCCTCTGTTCCTTAGAAGCTATATATGAGATCTCAGAAGCTGTAGCTTTTCTTAGAAATATGGGTCAGTGCTTCATTTTGTATCCCAAGAACCTTACAGGAGTCTTTACCATTCTGTTCTGTAAATGGTAACGGCTTTTTATTTTTATTTTAGTCATGATCCATCACTTAAATCAGTGCAGCATAGTAAGCAAGTTAAGAACTGCAAACCCAATAATACTGAGACAGCAGTTTGTATTGAAAAACAAATAGGCATCACACCTGGCCAATTTTTGGACCTATTTTCTTCTCTGGTGTTTGTTTTATACCATCTTTGCCTGATGATGAGTTCTGTTAGGAAACAAAACCTCACTTTATTGGTGCTGTGCTTGTAAATAAAAGCAGCTGTTCCCAAACCTTTTTGATTCATGGTTCCCTTGACTTACTGGCCACTGGCTCCCCGATATGATATTTTGGGTTGGGGGATGGAGGCCAATAAATAGGTCAAGCGAGCTGCAAGTGGAAAAGGTTTGGGAAGCACTGGCCTGTTCCTCCAGTCTTCTCCCAAGGGCTGGTGTCAGTTTGCAGTTCAGCTTGTCCTCGGTTTGTTGGGTCTGCTGGCCGGCCACTGGTCATCCTTACTTCCATCCGAGGGCACCTGGCGTCCCAGCTCTCCTTTCTACCCACGCCGGACAAACCCTGCCTTTCCCGCTCATGCCAGCACACACACAAACACACACACCCCAATTTCTCCTTCCGACCTTCCCTGAAATCTAAACCTGCGGCTTCCTACCACAAGCGACCCCAAGTAGGGCGCGGGCTATATGAGGACAGGTCTTTGCTGGCTCTCCCCTCAATCTCTGCAGCAGAGGCCAGGAGCAAGCAAAGTGGGCGGCGGTGGAGCTCACCCACCCGCGGGGCAGCCGCCGCCGCCGTTCTCCTTGGCAGCTCGAAGGAAAGGAGAGGGAGCCCCTCAGACGCCCCAGGACCACCACCCGCCAACTGGGCTTCCTGCTGCCCCCGGGGTTTTCTCCCAGGGTCAGGGCGTTGCTGCCAGGCTGAAGCAGCAGGTCCTCTCCACGCCAACGGGTGGATTCTACCTCACCACCTCACATCGGAGAGAGGAAGGCTGGGAGAGCTTCTTAGGGGCTCCAAACGGAGCCACCAGGCCGTCCCCATCTTCCCGCCCAAATAACTGAGGAAAACCTGAAGCAAATCAGCCCGCCCGCTCTTTCCCCTCCAAGCCAACAATGGGGGTGGAGAATAGAGAAATCCGCCCTCCAGCCCGCCCGCCCGGCCGACCATCAGCTCCTCCTGTAGGAGCCCAAACTCTTGCCTTACTGCGTGAAGAACCACAGCAGGGTCAAAATCTGCCCCCAGACAGAGTCAGAGGAGAGCGACGGACCCGCTTAGGCTGTGAGCTGAACGACGACGACGACGACGGTGGTGGTGGTGGTGCTGCTGCTGCCACCGCCTCCTTCCTCCAAAGCGGCCGTTAGACTTAACCAGCAAACCTCAATTCCCCGACGCAACACATACAAGATTGGGCCGACGCAGGCCACCGCCCTCTTCCCCAGCCCCTTGCTCCACCTCTTCCTGGTATCCATAGCAACCGCGCTGACTGCCAGGCCCTCCTCTCCCTTTGCTATGCTTTGCCTTGCCGGCATGGAGTGAGGGCGGTGGAGGGAAGAGGCCGGGTGGTCCTGTAGGAGCCCAAACTCTTGCCTTTCTGCGCGAAGAACCACAGCAGGGTCAAAACCTGCCCCCAGACAGAGTCGGAGGAGAGCGGCGGACTCGCTTAGGCTGTGAGCTGGACGACGCTGCTGCTGCTGCCACCGCCTCCTTCCTCCAAAGCGGCCGTTAGACTTAACCAGCAAACCTCAACTCCCCGACGCAACACATACAAGATTGGGCCGACGCAGGCCACCGCCCTCTTCCCCAGCCCCTTGCTCCACCTCTTCCTGGTATCCATAGCAACCGCGCTGACTGCCAGGCCCTCCTCTCCCTTTGCTATGCTTTGCCTTGCCGGCATGGAGTGAGGGCGGTGGAGGGAAGAGGCCGGGTGGGAGCCCTCTTCCTGGAAGGGCGAAGCGAGGGGCGGTGACCATAGCAACCTAAACTGATTGCCAGGCCCGCCCCTCGCCTTACCTTGCGTTGCCTCGAGTGCTGGGAGAGGGAAGGAAGGGACGAGAGGGCGGCCGCCTCGGCTTCTTGGGGCCACAGCTGGGAGAGAGGGAGGCGGCAGAGTCGGGCCGTCCCGTCGGCAGTGGGAGGCGATGTGGCGGCGCCCCTGGGTGGCTTTGACGGCCCACACTTTGGGAGATACTGCAATAAAGATGCTGTTCTCATAATGAGTTTTGTTTCTCTAAATGGATCACGTGGCTACTTTTCGATGTGTGTTAATTGTTTTTGAATAGTGTTCTAGAATGAGGTTGGATGGACAGGGGGGGATCATATATTCCTCCAGATGTTGTTGGATGTAACTCCCATCAGCCCTAGTAAAGGGTGGGATGATAGGAGTTCCAATCTAACAGCCCCTGAACCACTTAAATACAATTCCCTGCCCCGTTTTAAAATTTACTCTTCCCATGAGAAATACTCAAAACCCTTTTATTAGACACACCAATTTTTTGTCCGTTTTGGTTTGGCATAATAAGAGCGTTGCCACCATGTGGATCTTGCGATTTTTCATATGGTTAGCATGGCCACCTCTGCCTCATTTTCCAAGTAAGGTTTTGTTGAGATGGGATCAGGCTGCATTGGTGGGGAGCGAGGAAGCTGTGTGAGTTTTTTGTGGCAAAAATTAGCTGCGTGGTACTGAAACGTTTCATTCGGGATAAGGTTTAGTGAAGTACTAATACAATGAGGTTTTGTCTCTCATGAGAGAGATCCAACACATACTGGTAGGAAAGAAACCTGGGGGAATAGAAATGGCAAAGGAATAATAATTGATTATTGTCTCAACAGTGACCAATTTTCCCAGTTACTGGAAGGTGGGCCTGACATCCTAGCATAAATAAAAAGATTCCCACATTTATCGTGATGAAATCCACCATCTGATCTAGATGTAACAGAGAGATGTATTCTCGAAGATTTTCATGGCCGGCATCCAATGGTTGTTCTAGGTTTTTGGGACTGTTTGGCTGTGTTCTGGAGGTTTTTCTTCCTAACATTTCTCCAGTCTCTGTGGCCGGCATCTTCAGAGGACAGGAGATAGCACACGCCACACCAGAACACAGACAAGAGTTGTGTGCAAAGCCCCCCGCCCACAGAGACTGGCGAAACCTCCAGAACATGGCCAAACAGCCCAAAAACCCTACAACAACCATTGTAACAGAGAGAGCTTAACCTTTAGAGATATGTGTGTGTGTGTGTGGCCAGAATGCAGCCCCAAAACTTCTTTTGCCCTCCTTGGTCACCTCTTTTTCTGGTACTAAAAGTGAATTGCAGGTATAGCATCTGCAGTAAACGGAAGCCTCTGGCTTAGATCACAGGACCCTCTTGCACAATTTAAATAACTATGTACCAGTTCTGACTTATGGGGACCCTTTTTGAGGTAGAAAGTAGTCAGAAGTGGTTTATAATTACCCTCTTCTGGAGGCCTGTGCAGTTTGCCCAAAGCCACACAGGCTGCCTCTTCTGGGATGCACCATGGAGAATTGAACTCCCAACCTTTGCTGCCAGATATCAAATTCACTGAGCTATCTAACCAGCTCCACCTGCACCATTTAACACCAAAACAGTTTTTCAAAACTGGGAGTGGACTTTTAGCCACTTCTGACTACATTGGTTGTTTGTGTGACCCCTGTGGGTCTTGGAGCAGAAAATTGGCTCACCCACCACTGCATTAGAATCTAAGTGAACATTTCTGAGTAAAAAATTGTAATTAGAAGGACCAAATGGAATAGAAATGCAATCGTTACAGACAGTGAAAATTATCTAAATGGTACTTATTAGATAAACAAAAGTTGAATCGTAGTGCAGCTGATAAAAAGGAACGAGGGGTATGTGTGTAATGTGTGTGCTTTCATTCATTTTTGTGTTTATATATCTCCAGCAGAAACTTGGTTATTAATTTCCAACAACAAATCAAAACTGTGTTTCACACAGAAATTTTATTTTTCTCTCCAGAGTCCATTACATGCATAGAGTTTCTATAAAGAAACAACTCTAATAATAGTTGGCCCTGGTATAGTTTGAGGTAGAATATAATAAATGAGATATGACAAGAAATAGATGAGGAGACCCTGGGGCTGAATGAGCAACCGAGAAGCCATTTTCTCCAGCCAGAGTAATTACCATGGTTTTACCTCAGGCTTCTCAATCCATTTGAAAACACTGAAGAAACAAGCAACAGTAGCAACCAAACCCAGGAACCCAGAATTAAAGCACTGATGATCTGTTTCTTTTCATTATTTTCTTGTATCAAATCTCCAGTGTTCCCCTAAGATCTGAGTCCAGACTGACCCTGTTGCAGGCCTGAAGCTGGTCTCTTTGAACCAACACTGTCTGTAGATCTCTCAGATAAAAACAAGCCTTTGATCTTGGCAGTCCCAGTGTGACTTGTATTTCTTTTTGAAAAATACTGACAATACAGTACATGTGGGACAATATAAGAGTTTGTATTGTTAGTTACATAAGCCCCCAAATTGTATGTAAATACTTATAAATCATTTAAAGCAGAGGCCGTCAACCCCTGGTCTGCGGCCTGGTGCCGGTTCATAGCCCGGTCCGTGGCCTGAGCCGGACTGGGCTGCGGAGACAGACCTCCCAGGCCCCTCCGCACACACTCCCCTCCCCACAGCTGCTTCATGCAAGCATTGCCAGGGCCAGCGTGAGTGCTCCCCACCCCTTCACGCATTCGCCTGAGCACCCGTGCAAAGGGGTGGGTGGGTGTCCAGGCGCTCTTGCGCATGCACAAAGGGGTGGGAGAGCACTCACGTGCTCCCCCACCACTTTGCATATGTGCCCAAGAGTGCCCATGCTCGCCTTCCTCAGAGGCTCAGCTGGTTCATGGTCCCCAAAAGGTTGGGGACCGTTGATTTAAAGTACAAATGCCCTTCTAAATCTTCATAAAGAAAAGATGAGGGGGTGAATTTTCCTTGTTAATTTTTAAGTGCAATTCTATCCATGATTACTCAGATATCATCTTCATTAAGCTCAGTGAGACCCCAACCCTAAATAGCCCTAGGGTTGGAAGTAGGTCTCATTTTCTTAGTGGGATACACTTATGAATAGCCATGATTAGAATTGAACTTTTGAGAGTAGAAACTGCAGTATTGTAAGGAAGTGGACTTGTCCATGAAAGCTATCACTAAAATATAGCAGTCTTTAAATTGCCACAACATTTTTGTCTTTTTTTAATTGTTATTTTTGCCTTATATGTAGCCCTCTGGATACTTTTCAACTACATCTCCCATAATCCTTGACCAATGGCTGCGTTGGCTAGAGCTGCAGAGTTTCTGTCCAGCAATATATAGAGGGCCACAGTTATCCAGCTCTGTTTCATGGCACATCAGAATTCTCTTTGATTTCTTGGGCAGTTAGACAGCTAGAAACATACCGTACGTCTAAGCTAGCTTGTAAGTGCTGCTGGTTTTACTACTAATCCTACACCAAGCCAAATTATTTTTGTCAGTATACATCCTTAATCTGACAGTAATGTTCAATATGACATTGAAGGCTTAGTTTTTATGTTTCTGTAACAGAGCCAATTTATCAGCTGGAGGAAGCAGACAAAAATGCAAAAAAACCAGGAGATGGATTATGTATTGTTGATCTTGCAGGGAAAACATTGCTTCTTGCTCCTTTTCTTATTTTATTGAATAGAAAAAGATGCTAGGTAAGAGGTAAAATGTTTTATTAGTATATTCTATTTCTGTCTAGTTTATGCTATATGTACATTGTAAGGTCTACAGAGCTTTTCTAAGGGTTGTTAGGAAAACATGGACACTAAAGATTACCATATGAATGCTTAGGAGTACTTAAGTGATAATATGGATTGAAAAAAATATGCTGACAGATTCCTAGTAGAACTTGGAAAAATTATTTTTTGGACTATAGCCAGCAGAGGCATCTTGGAAGTAGTGCCCCCCCCAAAAAAATTAGTTTTCCAAGTTCTAGAGACAGTGTCTATTGGGAGAGGGGTTCTTTGTCCAAGTATGAAGCATATGAATTACACTATTATCTGTGAAAGCAAAGAATACTAATTAGACCAGAGCAAAAAAGCACCATTTAAGAAACATGACATTTATTTTTTATGCCAGGTTATCATTTAAATAGGCAGATGCAAAACAAATTGTGGTGACTGAAAGAGTTAGGGACTGTGACACAGCCATGGGCCAGAAGAGGAAGAAAGTAAGTTTCAAGTTCTCACATCTATGCAAACTTTTAAAAAATCCAGCAACAATAACTACAGCTATTTACATCTCTGAACAAAATATCTAGCATGAAAACCAGCATCTTAGAAATTAGAAGAAAAAGGTTATGGTGAACATTATCCATATTGTTATGGTGTGGGTGGGGGGCAAGTGGGGAAGGGAAAGCAGCAAAGCATTGAATTTAAAAATAAATTATACTGTAGAAAAAGAGTGGAAGGTACAACAACTTTTATTTTTAAAGACCTACAAGTTAAGTCTGCACTAAAAAATGCTGGAGAGCTTTCTCCCCCCCCCCATCTGAATATCATATCCTAAGGAGATTTGCGTGAATTGTGGTAAAAATAGATTCAACTAAAAGACACTTTGTGTGTCAACAATACTCAGACAGTCATTTACAAAATCATAGTGACTCATCACACCAAATACTTTTTTAGTATAAGGTTTCTTTCTGTCTTTAAATAGCTGTTGAGTCATTTATTTCTCTAAGCATCGTAACTCTCAATTATTTCCAAAAAGAACTGACACTCGAAAGCAAATTGCTTTGGAAATAATGACAGACAACTCTTGTTTGAGAATCCTACAGTGTAATTAAGAATATGGCACTGACTACTGAGTAGGCAGCTGAATAGCTGACGCTGCATCAACATTTGCTTCTTATCCACCTCAGATTTGCTGGCTCTTGTAAAAATGTCTCACTTTCATTTCTCGAACAGCACACTTTGTTCTCATTTCAGAGGAAGGGCACACTTACTATCCAAAATGGAAATGTATTTTTCTTACCCTGGAAATAACATTTTTGTTTCCTCAAAGGTGTTCATATTAGTATCCAGAATGCTGCACACCAGACCGTTTGATCCAAACATCCGGCATATCTGGTTTGCTGTTTGGTAAAACCACAGGCTCCTCACACACTAATCCTCCTAACCCTGCTTTCCTCACATTGCTGTTTTGTTGTGACGTAGATGTATCAAAGACGGTCTCTCTCAGGTCCAGCCGCAAGGTGTCTCTCTTCCCATTCAGGTGACCTCTCTGAGTCGGACAACAAGAATCAGCTACATCTAAATGACCTGGACAAGAGCCGGTGGATTCCACAGGTTTTGGGCTTGGTTCAAAGTCACTAAGGGAAGTTTCACTGGAGACATTCTGAACACTGAAAGAGCTGCCAGTGGAATAAAGGCATCTGTGGAGATCATACAGTTCAGCTTCTGGTAGATTACTGTCTTCTGAGGTATAATCTGATTTTAGTTGATCGGTGTTGCTTGAGCAGTGAGATTTATTGAGCAATCTGTCATCTGATATGCTGCTTGACTGAGGCTGTTCCCAGGTTTTGGGGGCATATTTTTGACACTGACAGTCTTTGCAAAGCCTATCTTGATGGCTTTCTGTGTCTGTCCCTGAGTTACTCCCAGGCTTGTAAGGAGAAGATGTTTGCAAGGCAGGGCACTGACAAACAGCTACGCGGTGCCCTCCAGGTTGTTCTAGCTTCTGTCTATCCCTGTCAAAGGAAGGGTGAATTTCCATTCTAGGGCACCTACTGTCTTGGAGCTGAATATCTTCAGATAAGACAGAGGGACGGTTGGACAACTTGCTTGTGGAGGTGCTGTTGTCAAAGCTGTCGCTAAGTTTCCTAGCCAGAGGCTGGAGCTCATATTGTTCATTTACACTGTTGGATTCCTGGCCTTTTTGTAATCTGTTCTGCTTCTCATTCCCACCACAGGTAAAAGTTCTGCTGGAGGCACCAGAGCCATCTGAGTAATCCTTCAGAGCACGAGCACAAGGCAAAAGAATTTGTCCACAGTTCTTCTCTGGGCCAAAGAAGCAACACAGAGACTGGAAGAAGAAGCTTGCAAACCCGCAGCTGATGCACTTGAGCATCATCATAAAGATCCCTAGCTTCCTGTATGCGAGCACAGTGGTGGGCAACATAATGACACCTGCGGAAAACAAGGCACAGGTCCCCATGACAGTGGCGCAGCTCATCTGCTTCAGGGAGAAGGCGACCCGGCTCACGCGATCAGAGTATGGACACAAGTGGTAGGAAATGCAGTAGTTCACTGTGAAGTCGATAGAGAGGCCCACTGCTGCTGAAATGAAGAGAGACTCCACAGCATTGAGCTGCCATTCCAGAAGGACAAGAAGCCCAATAGTTACCAGAACAGTGCCTGCAATGGCTGTGATGGAAAACACACTGAGGAGGACATTCCAGGTTGTGAGCAACAGTACAATAAAACAGATAGCTATGGATAAGCCCAACACAACCATACTCTCTGTGTCCACGCTGTGCTGGAGATTATAGAGGTCCAGTTTACTGGTGAACCAGCCATTCTGAAGCCCAATAGGGGCTGTCTTCATCTCCTCTCTTATCCAGAAGCTGATTTCATCATAGAAATGAGTGGTTTTGCTGTAGTTGAAGCTGTAGTGGTAAGTGGTTTGGAACTGTAGCACCAAAGCAACAAGGTTGCCCTTTCTATCAAATCGGAGACCTAAGTCATGTGCTTTGGCTTCCTCTCTATTTTGTTCCAGGAGCATCATCTTAATGCAGTGGAGGAAGACTTCTCTGCCATAAGGGAAAGAGAAGTGGTTACAGCAGAGGTTGAAATTGTGATCTCGCTTGGAGCACTGGCGGCTGTCCATCCAGTGCTGAAATTCCTCCATGAAGCAAACTGTGGGTTTTTGTTCCAGATCAGAAAGGTAAAAACTCTTGTTCTTCACTTTTTGGCAGAAGTCCAGTAGCCACCTTTGTGCTTCAGGGCTTTCCATGGTAAATGCTGTATCCATCACCAGAGTGCCATTGCTCTTGGGGTTAAAGTGATCTCCATTGTCCACAGGGAGGACACCCCATACAATAATGACAGGCATGGGCATATCCTCTCCATGTTCTATTCTTTCAAACATGAACTCGTTACAGTATTCAGCGTCATACCTCTCAAAGGGGTGGCTTAGCCTGAACACTTGCCCAGATGACAGCTCTAGAGTGGGAAGTTTCAACCTAGGTTCCAGACAAGAAATGTAGGCTCCCCCAGTAGCCATGGCGGCAAACCAGCAGATCCAGATGTAACGAAATTTGATTACCCCACAAGGAAGCACTTTCTCAAATAATAGCTTGGAGGTTTCACACCAGGTATTTTGGATGCTCCTGAGGACGTGATGGAAGGAGAGAATGATGCTCTTGTGCCCAGTGTTATTCCAATAATCTTCTGGTTTATAAATGCAGTTCTTTGCAATGTAACGTTCATAGAGGACAACGGAGGAAGGAAGCCAGGTCAACATGAATACCAAGTTCACCAGAACCGAAGTGCCCATGTAGATGGCAAAGCAGCAGGTGGCAGTTATGTAACTCATGTAGCTGGCATAAAAAGCAGCACCAGTTGTCAGGCAAGATACCAGCGCGAGATAACCAAAATGGTGCATGGTTAGTCGTACCCACTGCAGTAGCCCAGCAGATGGGTTCTGGCTCTTGCTAAGGTTCCAGAGATCAAAGAAGACAAAGGTATGGTTGGCACAAATACTGCTAAGGATGACTACTGCTGTTAGGTTTATAAAGGGGAAGTAGGAGAATTGGAAGGCCACCTTGTACAAGAAGTAGGAAATCATCAAGGTACCAAAGACAATCATCAAGATGATAAAAGTAATAAAGATTGAGCGTAAATAAAAAAATATGCTTAGAAATATGGCTAGTATTGCCATGGCTGGATACATGGTATCCAACAAAAGGTAGTGCTGGAATAGTTTCTGCTTAAGGCCCAAATCCATACCAGTGATGGATGTATAATTATCAAACAAGTCCCATGATTCAAGGTTGTTTAGGTAGATTGCCATCATAGATGTTCCTTTCATTGTAGGCAAAAACAGCAGGCTGTATTTCAGGGTTGGCACTTGATATCCCACTGTCTGTGGGCTGAGAAAATCTCTGTCAACAAGGAAATGAAGGAGCTGGTAAACAGCACGGACCCGAGTGCATTTATCTGGGACTTTGGAACACCGAGCATGTTTGTCTCTTTCACTCTTGGGACCGAGGCAATGGGGGACAAGGGCCCCTTTGTGATAGTCGGGGGCACAGGAACGAAGGAGAGCAAGGGTACGGGAAACATCTGCTTGGGTAACTTCTAAACAAGAGGAGCGGTTGTACAGGACAGCAATATAATTCCCCAGGGACCAACTTGGACAGCATTCGTTGGCTTCAGTTCGTTGACAGAGACTTCCAAACTGTGGATGAGAGCGGATCTAGAAACAGCCAAAAGGGAAACATAAGGGATTAGGGTTTGGGGTTGTTGTTTTTTTGTTTGTTTGTATTTTTTTTTGGTTGGGGTGCTTTTTTAGGAGGGTGGACAGATTTTGTTCCCTGTGCATACGCAGTTATACAATGCTCCGTTTCACCTTACAAAATACAGTATAATAATCCTGGGATTGGCCTTGGATAGTCTGAAGGCATTATCTGGCCTACAGAAAGTGACCAGTAGGTATGGGAATCCTGCATTAAGGAGACAGATGTCTGCATGGTAACAAAGCAAGCACACCTGCTGTTCCTGCCATTTCCTCTGAGTAAAGTACTGTAAGTGTAGAGCCACATGTTATGACAGTGTCACAGAAAAATATATGAAGAATTTAAGGCATAGCATGGATTCACAGCAAGGCAAGTACTGTATTTTATTTTTATTTATTTAAAATATTTCTATCCCACCTTTCTCCCCAAAAGTGACTGAAGTACTGTGTCCTCTTACACAACTGGCAGTTGAAACAGTGATAGAAAAAGATTCTTAATGTCACAACTTGGCCCTCTCTTTAAACTTGCTGCTGCAGCTGGCTGCTTCTTCCTCTTCCATATGTGTGCCATCAGGAAAAGGCTTTGTTCCTTCCTGTTGCACTCAGTTGCAATCTGCCAGATCTCGTGGCAACTTTCCTTCCCTTTGCCTTGCTTTTCTTGTCCATATAGGGGTGGACAGTTTGTGGCCCCTTGCTCCTGAATAGCAGCTCTGTCAAAATGAGAAAGAGCCATCCTGAGGTTGCTATTGCAATGCTACACCTGGATGATGATATCCTCAATTCCTGCTCTAAACTCCAGTTATTTATTAACACTATGTGGGCATATTAGGTCTGCAAGTTTTACAGTATAATCCTATGTGATTACTGAGATGTTCAATGAGAATTATTTCCAATTAAGTATGCAGGAGATTGCAGCTTAAAGCAATTGTCCTGCAATCCATTTAGCTGAAAGTAAGCTCCAGCAAATCTAGTGGGACTTAGGGCAGACACGTATAGGAACACACAGTTAATCAGTATAATGATAGATGACTAGGATAAGTCAGTGTTGGCTTAATTTACCTGGTGGGCCAGAAGTTAAAGGAACATTTCATTGAAAGCAGGCATGATTAGAAAAAATAATAATAATTTAAAGATTATGTTTCCTTCTAAGAGTGGTACGTTTTGCTTTTGAAATTGAACATTTCTGCAATTCCTTTAGTACTTAAAAAACTTCTATATTGAGCTTCTGATGCTATATGCAGGTACAGTATATTTTTACTGACTAAAAATATTTTGTCAGATTAAATTAAAATTTTGAATTGGTTAATTTGACCTTATCTATAGGTTTCCCCCCCTTTCAACAAAGAACTCCAGAAAATAACTTTTAAAAGCTCTGATTCCTTCCAACTGTAAAATTCTACGTTATGTGATATTTATTACAGTAGCCTCTCATTTAATGTTTCACCTCTTGGCTTTGAAACATGTATGTTAATTTTGGACAAAGCATGCAAACATACGTGGGCATCTTCCCTGTGGCCCTACCTACCTTTTCCTGTTCCATTTGGCACATGGACTGTATTGCTTGCAAGTTCCATAAACTCCCGGCAGTTGTGGACATAAATACCAGCTGAGAATAATTCTTCCCTAAAGGTTTAAAATACAAATAGTCAAAACAGATATACTATATCTAACAATATATCTCTTTGGAATAATCAATGTATCTGAAGGGGAAAGAGAGAGAGAAGGAATTCCTGTGGGCTGCTTTTATTGTCCTTGTATAACTCCTCTTTGCAAATAAAATTTATGCACCATCAAGTTGATTCTGAGCTGTGGCAACTCTTTCTAGGGTTTTCTAGGTATAGAGCACTCAGAGCTGGTTTACCATTCCCTTCTTCCGGGGGCCATTTGTTTTTTGTCTCATAAGCTGCCATCCTTTGCACACTTACCAGGGATTAACTCCCAGTGAACACAGTGGGATCTACTTTTCAGAAGGAAAGCACATTGCATTGTTACTGTTTGACTAGGCCATATTTACTAAGAAGCCGGTACAGAGGATTGCTAGAATTGTCTTCATAGCACAAAGAGTAAACCTATAGTGTTGGAAAGTCAAATACCAAAATGCTTTCACCTCAGAACCCCTCCTCAAGTTAACCAAACTACAGGTCTTTGCCAAAAATTTTCAACAGCCGTGAACAGAAGGAGTGCATCTAGAAAATTTAATATGATATGTTTGTGATTCTATTATTCTTTCTTAAAAGGTCTATGAATCATAGCTACTGTATGCACTAGGCAGACCAACACCTCCACCTTTATTAGTGTTGCTATCTTTTTGCTATCTTGACAAAGATTTAATTTGCACACTAGTCAGAAGAAAGCCAGGATAGTAGATATAATGAGCATGGAAACACATTTGAATGCAACTGTTCTGCTAGTGCAGTTTATTTTTTTATAGGCCACCTTTCTGCTATAAAGGTGGCTCACAATATTAAAAAGAATAGAATTAACAACACAGTGAGATCTACATTAAAATGTATTATTACTCATGCAAATAAGTCATATTCATACCATGCAGCCCTCTAGTTTTGTATCCCAAAATTGCTTCCTATTAAGAAAATGTTCTATACTTTTTACATTCTTGAGAACTAATTATAACTAATACTCACCTGGGGGACCGCAAAAAAACCCATCCTTTTCATAATCTGGCTCCACCATTCTCTTTATTCTTACTTCTTGTTCACCTTGTACAGATCTCTGTCTCCTGTTCATGCCCATATCACCGTAGCTAACAAAAGAAATAATATTACTTATGGAGTACCTGACCTGAACATCTGCAGCTCAGCTGACATTTTTCTAACATGTACAACTACAAGATCTATTCCTTCTCTCTCTCTCTCTCTCTCTCTGACGTGGATTCTATAGGCTACATTCAGTTGGTTGGCCCATTCAGTCAATGAGACTTACACAAGAGTTGACTTATAAAAGTCCCATTAATTTAGCAAGCCTAACCTAGCTGAGACTAACAACTGGATTCAGTTCAAAAAGTAACAACACATGGCTACAAACTTTTTTGCAATTAATCATCTTGTTTTGCAAATAATCATTTTGTTTTGCAAATAATCATTTTGTTTGACTTTATCACAAAGGGCTTGATTTGTCACCAGGAAAGCCATATATGTAATCAGAATGAAAGCCCCTCTCCCTGATCAGGTAGTAGTCTTAGGAAAAGTTCCCATTGGCACCTACATGATCTTTTTCTCCTGCATGTCCCAGCCTTGAGGTCTAGGGGAGTTCATTCGATTGTAATTTTGTTCTAGTCTCTGCAGCCCGCATCCTGTATTCTCAGTAAAGGGCATGCTTCTCTCCTCCCCATAGCTGTAGTTATTTAAAATTAAAATGGCAATATAGCAACACATTATGCATTAACGGGTCATTTCATTTGGCTTGGCTCT